AAAGGATTGGCTGCTCCTAGTTTTATTACGAGAAAAGCCAGGAAGCAGTGTAATTCTATCTGTCGGCTTCTGGTTACTGTCTTGGCAGATGGCCGCTGTGGCTTTCCCTCTCTGGGGTTGGGGTTGGTTTTAACAGCATCTTACGTGGAGCCCCAGACGCAGGATTGCTGTCTGTCATCACGGCAGAGGTGCAAGTTCACAAAACACGTTGCCCTGCAGTTGCTGCGCCATAGACATATGTGACTCACCTGTGTCAGCATGCAGGGCTGCTAGACATGGACCCTAAAGACCTGTGCTACATCCTAAAACTTCTCATCATCCTGAGCACACACTGCAGAATCCATTCACAATGAGGGTTTAATTAAAAACGTAGGCCTGGGTCCTTATGTGTAAAAGGAGGAGAATCCTTCTTTGAGAGGAAGAATGTTTTCTTCCTCCCTCTTGAGATTTCTCATACGTCCTCCCACCTATTTCACTTAAGTGATGGCTCCTAATGGAGTCCGTCTTTACTGTCCTGTCTGGGTTTGAATCTAGGTACTTCCTTAAGCACTTGGTTCCTTTACCCTTGTTCTCTACGAATATTTACTGTGTACCTGCAGTGTGCGGGGTGCTGGGGATCTCTGGGGTTGATGCAGATTCCGTTTGTGCCCTGACAGAGTTTAAAGCTTCTTGGGGAAGAAGGATAGCAGAGACGGCGTCCATTCCATGGGATGAGAGTGGTGATGTGAGAAGGAGGGGGCCGCGAGAGCCTCCCCTAGTCTAGAGAAAGAGAAGTTTAATCTGACACCCAGAGAGCGAGCGCAGTGAGCCAGCCAGAGATGGAGGGGAAGTGCTTTCCTAGGGGCCAGAGAGTGAACTGCAGGAAGTTCCGTGCTCTGAGTATGGGGTGCTGAGTGCAAGAGGGAGGCGGGTGAGAGACAAGCCTGGGGACACCGGCGGGACACATTACCCACCTACAGCCTGCAGAGTTACAGGCATCTCTTGAGAAAATGATTTTTGTCTAGTTTGTCTTCTGAGAATCTGGGAAGGCTGCCTCAGCACACCCTTTTAACCTAGGATGATCTGTGGATGTGCAGCTGGACCAGGGACACAGAGGTGACAGGTTTGAATATAGTCCCATCTCTGCCCCCAGGACAGCTAAGACCAGTCACCTCTGAAGGTTCAGGGACATTGGGAAAGTCACTTCCCCTCTGACCATCAGTTTTCTCGTCTCTAATGAAGGGGTTGGACTAGTTCATATCCAATAAGTTGAACTTCCAGCCCCCAAACAAGGATATTGCCTAGCTCAGATAAGTGTTCCGTAAACACTTGCCGAATGAATGAACTTACTGTGGTGCCCACCATCGTCTCCCAGGCTGAAGACACCCGGTGGTAGTGAGTCAGGGTGGTGGCTCTCTTTGCCTGTTAGGGGACCACTGAAGCATTTTCCTATAGGGGAGTATCTTTGCCCTGGGGAGAAACTGACTCCAAGTTGGTTTCCAGATTTAGTGGATAGAAAGCTAGTGCCTATGGTCAGGAGGTTAACTATCGTCCGACTTTGGCATTCTCTAATTTCCCATCCATGGTTCTTTGAATTTATAAGTGGCCCAGAACATCCCTGAAGGGCAGAAACTGGACATTTTGCTGAACAAATATGAGTCGTGCATTTTGCAAGGGGTGTGTGTGGGAGAGAGTGGGAAGCCTAGCTGGCCACAAACATCTACACACCCCATGGGTTCTGATTTAAAACATCTGCACAAAACCCCTGTGAGGTGGATCTAATTACCCTCAATTTTCAGAATAGAAAACTGAGGAAATGTTTCCTTTTGTTCAACAGGATTTCCTAGGGGTATGTTAGGTGCCAGGCATTATGGCCACTGCCAACATCTCACCTCTGATGATTCGTTGAAATAATCTGTGGGGCTTGGAAAAAGTCTAAAGACCCAGGCAGCATCCCAGAAACCCTGAATCAGAAGCAGAAACAGAGACTGTCTTACATTGTTGGTGAGGGTAGAGATTGAAATAATCTCTTTGGAGGGTGATTTGGAAATATTTATCTGCCTTTAAATATTCATATCCTTTACCTAGGCAATTCTGTTTCTGGATGTGTAACTTTCAGGTATGCCTTCACATTGTACATAAAACTACATGCACAAGAATATCCATTGCAGTTAAGTTGTGGTGGCTCATGCCTGTAATCCCAGCACTTTGGGAGACTGAAGCAGGAGGATCACTTGAGGCCAGAAACTTAAGACCAGCCTGGGCAACATAGTGGGACCCCGTCTCTACAAAAAATATGAAAATTAGCTAAGCATGGTGGCATGCACCTGTAGTCCCAGCTACTCAGGAGGCTAAGATGAGAGGATCACAGGAGCCCGAGCCAAGGCTGCAGTGAACCGCAATGACACCACTGCACTCCAGCCTGGGCGACAGAGCAAGCCTGTATCTCAAAAAAAACAAAAAACAAAAAACAAAACAGCTTGCTCAGAGGGGTCTGTCTAGATTATGGCTTGACAAGGCTGACATGAAAGAGCTATAGCTATTTTATTACCATGGAAAGTGGAGTAGTATTGTTATTATAAATTCATGGTAGGGGAAAAAAAAACACCTCACCTCCATGGCCATCCACTTGTCTGTATCATGGATTACTTAATTGTACTTTCCACTCTTACACTATGTGAGGAGCTACCCCAAGCCATTGGGAAATGTTCTGCATTAGTAGTGAGTCTAGAATTTGCCTAGAAAAGTAAGTCATGCTCAGGGCAAGCAGGAGTGTCCAACTCGGCTTTGAGCCTCCTCTGCAGCTGTAATTGCAGTTATCAACCTTTTCCCATTCTTCAAAGATTTTGGCAGTGCTTCCGCCCAAAGAAAGAGAGGCAGAATCCCCTTCATGTTTGAAAGCTTGCTTTAGAATATAGCAATGCAGTATAGTCAGAAAAAACGGGGATTTATTTATAAGGTTACAATTTTTGTCTGGTTCTTCTCTTGTTAACAATTGGTCTTGACAAGCCATTAGCCTTCCCAACCCTTAGTTTTCCTAGCTGGTGAGTGAGAATAACAACAGCTGCCTTAACTAACCCAAAGGTGGTTCTGAGGACGCCTCTCCAGAGAGATACTACAAGATGCTTTACCAAAAAAAGTGTGTGGTTTGTGCTTGATTATAAAGGTCATTATGTGCTTTGGGGCCTTTATTTAATAACTCCAATTCGTGTCCATTTTAGAAATTCTACTCAATCTGAAAGGATTGAGTTAACTTTCAGAAATATGTATGGTTCTTATAAAAAGTCATCACCCACCTATCCTCAGTATTAAGCTTTTAAAATAACAGCCTGGTTTTCACAGGTTCACAAACCTTCTAGTCCCCCAGAAGCCACCCAGCCCTATAAGATGGCAACACCATCCTTCAGTTGCTCAGTCCAGCAACTTCGGAGTCTTCCTTGACTCTTCCGTCCTATCCATATGGACTCTTTATTAATACACGAGCAAATTTTATAGTCTCTACCTTAAAATACAGCCAGTCTGACCACTTCTCACCAGCCTGGTCTGGACCACCAAGATCTTTGCACAGGGCTGCTCCTAGCTGTCCGAGCTCCATTCTGTGCAGAGTGATCCTTTCAAAACAAACCCATATCATGCCACTCCACTGCTCGAAACACTGCAGTGACTGCCCTTCTCCTTCAGATCTGACCCCTACATGGTCTGCCCCAGCCAGCCTTGCTGGCCTCATCACCTGCCAGGCTCCTGGTTGCTCCAGTCACAGTGGTCTCCTTGCCTTTCCTGAAACACACCAACCAAGCAGCTCCTGTTGCTGCGGTTTGCAAATGCTGTTCTTTCTTGCCGATCATGCTCTTTCCCAGACACCACCACTCACTTCCTCTCTTTCTGCAGGGCTCTGCTCAGTGTCACTGTATCTGACACACCATATAAAATAACAAGCCCTCCCTACTCTCCAGCCCAGCAGCCACTCTCCATCCTTCTTTCCTGCTCTTCCTCCATAGCACTTTTTCCCACATGACATATCACACATTTGTCTGTTTTCCACGCATCCCTCTTCCCCTGACACCTGCTGCCAAATGTAAGCTTCACAAAAGCAGAGACTTTATTTTCTTCATTGCTGTATCCCCAGAGCCTAAAACAGTACCTGGCTCATCACAGGGACTCACAAAATATTTGTGAACTGACTGAATACGTGAATGAATTGGTTACCTAAGTGTAATATATACATACATACATAAGTAGATATGTAAATAAGTTGATATTATAGTTACATAATAGCCAATTAGGTTAATCTTATTTTCTAATATTTATAAGTAATTTATCTCTCATTCTATAACTTGTATTCTCATGTTTTTTGTTCATTTTTCTTGTGGAGATGATCACATTGTTTGAATTTTATGTGCCATGTATATATTAAGAATTCTTGCTCACTTTGGTTGTCCGAGGTGGGTAAATTGCTTAAGCCCAGGAATTCGAGACCAGCCTGGGCAACATGATGAAATCCCATCTCTACAAAAAATTAGCCAGGTGCGGTGGTGCGTGCTTGTAGTCCCAGCTATCCAGGAGGCTGAGATGGGAGGATCACTTGAGCCCGGGATGCAGAGGCTGCAGTGAGTTGATATTATGCCACCACACTCCAGCCTGGGCGGCAGAGTGAGACCCTCTCTCAAAAAGGAATTTTTGCTCATAGACACGCTTTATATTCTGAAATGTGTACTGTAGGATAAGGCACTGTTTTAATTCAAGATGTCTGAAATGTCTTTTATGATTGAATAAGCCACTCATGTATGAGTCATTTTCTTCTTCTGTTTCTCTAATTCCCATTTGATTCTCAGAGTTGGACTCTTGTGCTCTGGGGGACCATGGTTGTGAACACTTGTGTGTAAGCAGTGAAGATTCATATGTATGCCAGTGCTTTGAAGGTTATGTACTCCGTGAAGATGGGAAAACCTGCAGAAGTAAGTTTGTACTGGAGCTGGCTCCTACTACTCTGCTAGACCACTGTGTGAAATTGCTATCCTTACCTCTGTATACATCAGTTCCTCTCAGAAGTCAATGCCACACGGCAAAATGTAATGTAGTGTCCTGGATAGGACCCTGAAAGAGAAAGAGGACATTAGGGAAAAACTAAGTAAATGTCGATAAAATACAGAGTTTAGCTAATAATGATGTATCAGTATGGGTTTATTAATAATAAGGGAGGGACCACACTCCTGTGAGGTGTTAATAATAGGGAAAATTAGGTGTAGGGTATATGGCAATTCTTTGCACTATTGTCTCAATTTTTGTGTAAATCTAAAACTGTCCTAAACAATAAAGTCTATTAAAAAAATGGACAAACAAAGTGGATGCCAGAGCTATTACTGAAGTTCTTCATTTATATGCTCTGTGGCAAGAAACAGTGGTTTGGCAGTATACTCTAGTGGAAAGATGGACAGTCAGAAATCCGAGATTCAGTCAACTTCTGTCTCTGCCATTCATTAGCTGGGAAAGTTGTCTAACTTCTCTAAGCCTCTCTGCTTATTTATCTTTAATAATGTTGTTGTTGTTATTTCTGGTAGCACAAATCCCTCCCAGAGGGCACCTTGTGATGAAGCCAGTTTTGCCTTTCAGAAGGCAAAGCCTCTTAGATGGGGCTGCAGCCAGCCAGCCCAGGACAAGCAGCCTTAGAGTGAATTGCTGGCGTAAATCTCAAGACACATCTCTGAATAATCAAAGGGGAGTGTGTGACCCTGGTTTCTAGCCCTATCAGTTATCTTTTTCTCAACGTCTCAAAGCACTTTATAAAGAGCAACTCATGTTGACACTTTTATAAGGAAAGATGGGTAGCTGGAGTAATTACTCTCTCATTTTTTAGACAGCAAAGCTAAGACTCCAAGAAGTTAAGTGATTCTACTAAGTCATACACTATGTCAGGCACAAAGCCAAAGTGAGATTTCAGTGCTGCTAATCTAAATTGAGGTTTCATCTCCTAAGGAATCATATCAACAGTGTTTCCATTCTGATATCAGAAACTATGTCTATAGAAAGCTGATGATGGACTGCATTTTAACACTAAAGTAGTGCTGGTGAATGACGATGGTGAAGACTGTGAAACAGTTTGAAGGGTTAGCCCGAATTAGAGCCCCTAAACTTTGTTCTCAATTGTATCTTCCTGCCCCGCGGACCACTGAGCTCAGGGGGCAGTAGAATCCGGTAGCGGACTCCAGCGGATGAGTCCTCCAGGGTGAAGTCCGTGTGAAATGCATGTTGGCGAAATTGTTGAAACTTGCTCTCCCGTCTTCAGGGAAAGATGTCTGCCAAGCAGTAGACCATGGCTGTGAACACATTTGTGTGAACAGTGACGACTCATACACATGCAAGTGCTTGGAGGGATTCCGGCTCGCCCAGGATGGGAAGCGCTGCCAAAGTAAGTAGCCTTGAAGTGGAGAAGAACTTTTCCCTCTGTGGACTCAGAATTAGAGAACTTCATTTAATCCTTAAAGTCCTCCTTTATTACCACTGTCACAAGTGTCAGTTCCTGCCTTGGGTGCTCTGAAAGTGTTTAGCTAGAGATCAGTTCAGTAGCCTCTTGCTTTTTTGGGAATTTCTCAGTCAAAGCCTGAGTTTTGGGTTCTTTGCTTCTCTTCATTTTCTGCCAGCCGTCAGCCCTTTCCACAGCAGCTGTGTGGGTGCCCAGAGCCTTGCACGGTGCCTGCCTAGTCACTGGACTGAATTAGAACCTCTGCCAGCAATCACTACAAGGATCAAAGGTTAATTACAGAGCTTTCTCCTCTTGGCAGACCTTAAAAGTAAGAGCAAGGGGTGAAAGGGTGTATTTGTCCATTTTCACACTGCTGATAAAGACATACCTGAGACTGGGCCATTTACAAAAGAAAGAGGTTTGATGGACTCACAGTTCCACTTGACTGGAGAGGCCTTACAATCATGACAGAAGGTGAAGGGCACATCTCACACAGTGGCAGACAAGAGAAGAGAACTTGTGCAGGGAAACCCCTTTATAAAACCATCAGAACTTGTGGAGATTATTCACTATTAGAATAGCACAGGAAAGCCCTGTCCCCATGATTCAATTACCTCTCACCAGGTCCCTCCCACAACACATAGGAATTGTGGGAACTACAATTCAAGATGACATTTGGGTGGGGACACAGCCAAACCATATCAGAGGGATGTCCTGTGGGTTTTATTTTTCTATTATTTGTATCATTTGCTTCTATAGGTCACCCAGAACAGGCTCTGAGAGTTTAGTTAGAAGGTATATTCACCAGAGTTCTCTAGAGAAACAGACCTTCTCTATGTATATCTTCATCTTCTATTATATATAAATATAATAGAAGACATATATAATATACATATGTCTTCTATAGTCTGTTCTATCTTCTATTTATATATATCATAGAAGATATATATACACACACACATATATATGTACGTATGTGTGTATATATATGTATACTATGGTCTGTTTCTATCTTCTATTAATATATCATCTCCACAGGAAAAATGGACATATATACACACACACACACACACATATATATGTGTGTGTATATATATATACACATATCCTCACATTGGTTGATTTTAAGGGATTGGCTCACACAATTGTCAGGGACTGGCAAGTTCTAAATCTGTAGGCAGCCTGGAGACCCAGGCAAGAGCTGATGCTGCAGCCCAAGTCTGAAGGCAGTCTGGATGCAGAATTCCCTTTTCCTCAGAGGACCTCAGTCTTTTTCTCTTTAGGCCCTCAAGTGATTGGATGAGGCCCATCTACATTATGGAGGGTAATCTGATCTGCTTTACTCAGAGTCTACTGATTAAATGTTAATTGCATCTAAAAATTAGCTCACAGCATCATTTAGACTGGTGTTTGACCAAACAACTGGGCGCAATAGCCTAGCCAAAGTGACACATCAGATTAACCTTCACAGTACCCAAAAGGAAGAGAGGGATGTCATACGAGCTCAGTGAGGCGGGCATTAGGAGAGTACAGAGCAGGGATTTTTCCCCACCATGAGATTCTGAGCTGGTAATTCCCTATTTGGGGGGGAGGGGTGGTTGACAAAGTCTACTTGCTTTTGTGACACTTTGCCCCAGTGGGCAAAATGACCCTTTTTAAATTAAATCAAAATAAGTTCAGTTGCTTTTGAGGTTGATTTTTGGGAATTTTCTCACAGACTCCTTTGAGATAACTGGGGACATTCCACAAGCCAGCAAGGCTGGGTTGGATGGATCTCAGTACCTCGCTTCTTCCACCGGGAAGAGGGACTCCTGCCTTTACTGAGAAGTTCTATGTGAACAACTGGTGCCTCGGATGCCTGTGGTACCCTGGCCTGACTCTGCAGGGATTCCCCTCACAACTGCAGGTTCAGCTTCACACTGCAGTGGCCCTCTTGTGGGGATTTTTCTATAATTCTGCCCATTGTGGCTATCTGTGCTGCTTTGTTCATGCTTTTCTTTTTGTTTGTTTTTGTTTTGAGACAGGGTCTCACTCTGTCACCCAGGCTGGAGTGCAGTGGCAGTATCTTGGCTCACTATAACCTCCACCTCCTGGGCTCAAGCGATCTTCCCACCTCAGCCTCCTGAGTAGCTGGGACTACAAGCATGCACCACCACACCCAGTTAATTTTTGTATTTTTTGTAGAGATGTGGTTTCACCATGTTGCCCAGGCTGGTCTTGAACACCTGAGCTCAAGAGATCTGCCTGCCTTGGCCTCCCAAAGTGTTGGGATTACAGGTGTGAACCACCACGCCGAGCCCTCTTGCTTTTCTTTCTGCAAACATCTGCACACTCACACACACTGTTTATTCATTCAACACATTTTTTGCTCAGTAAATTAAGCTACTGTACACAAGGTACAACTTCTACCTCTGGAATTTGATCCTAAATCAGATTTCACCATTGCTGCTTCCTAGAGGGATGTGTACTCACTGATTCCAATTTTGTGTGAAGCCTCTCCTTTTAAGGGCTAATGACAGGGAAGAGCCATAGGCTGTCAGGCTATGGAGGAGCACTCGGGAGACAGCTGTGTCATCAACCTGCCAGATGACCGTGGGCAGCAGTGAAGCTTTCTGAGGATCTGATTCTTCATTTATACCTTGAGTATAATTACCCCTGTCTTCTTCCTCTCACAGGGTGTTGTGAGGGTTAAAGGGCTGTAAATACTTCGAAGAGTTTAAATTACCTCACACATGAGAAATGTTCATTAGACAATCTGAACTGGAGTGTTTGGGATGTCTGTGGCAAAATGAATTAGAAGCTAAAGCACATCTAATAATAGGATAGTAAATCAAGGACACCTAATCACCCATCATACCATTCAGACTCATGGGAGCTGGAGCTTTCTGAGAGGAGCTTTTTCCCCATCCTGAGTATGAGACTAAAAAAGACATTATGAAGGAGGTTTGAAGAGAGGTATATTTTCTTTAAAAGAGATTACTTCCACAATCTCTACTCACAAGACTATTCAGTTCACCTCATTTCTACACCGATGGGATTGTTCAACTCCCTACATTTTCCTCAGGGAAGGATGTCTGCAAATCAACCCACCATGGCTGTGAACACATTTGTGTTAATAATGGGATTTCCTACATCTGCAAATGCTCAGAGGGATTTGTTCTAGCTGAGGACGGAAGACGGTGCAAGAGTAAGTGATCTGAACTTGGCTCTCTGCTTTAATTTGGTTTTGGAGCAACTGCTTTTTGGAGTATTTTCAGGCAACAAGTCCCTCACCTCTGCTTCTCCCATAAATATAAATGCATATGCACAAATACAGAATGGGGAAGCGAGGGCTTAACTGCAGCCCCTGTGAAAACACTTTCAGTTTTAATTGACAGTAAATTCATTATCAGCCAAGAGGCTAGGCTGATCATAGCCTGAACAGCAATGTCTGGATGAGGGAGGTGGAGACAGCTGTGCTCTGCTCTGGGCTGGAGAATTACCTTCAGTTCTGGGCATGGTACTTTAGGAGAAGAGAGATGGATCAATGGTTTAAACATTAAAACACACACACACACACACACACACACACACACAAAAGAGCAAAAGGAGTCTTTTTTTTTTTTTTTTTTTTTTTTTTGAGATGGAGTCTTGCTGTGTCGCCCAGGCTGGAGTGCAGTGGCCGGATCTCAGCTCACTGCAAGCTCTGCCTCCCAGGTTCACACCATTCTCCTGCCTCAGCCTCCCAAGTAGCTGGGACTACAGGCGCCCACTGCCAGGCTAATTTTTTGCATTTTTAGTAGAGACGGGGTTTCACCGTGTTAGCCAGGATGGTCTCGTTCTCCTGACCTCGTGATCCACCTGCCTCAGCCTCCCAAAGTGCTGGGATTACAGGCATGAGCCACCGCGCCCGGCCGCAAAAGGAGTCTTGAGATAATTATTTTATAATCTGAGAGAAGATCTTTCTAAACATGACATGAAATTTAAAAGCCATAAAAGAAAAACAAAGGAAAATATATAATAAGAGAGTAAAGCTGTGATACCTTTTTTTAACCTATTAGTTGCCAGAGATCAAAAAGTTTGATTCCTTATGTTGGCAAAGGTATATTGTAGTAGGGAATGATAAATGGATCAGTGGGTGTCTGAATTGGTATAACCTTTCAGAGGGCAATTTGGCAATGTTATGAATCCAGTTCCACTTCTAGAAGTTTATCTTATAGATATGTGCATGTTTACAAAGCCATGTATACAAGGATATTTTATACAGCACTATTTGTAGCAGCAAAAACTGGAAACAAGCTAAATGATCACCCATGAGCCTGGCTGAATAAATTAAGGCACATCTATGTAATAAAACATGACGCAGCTGTTAAAACAACAAGCAGCTCTGGATGTATCCCCAAGATATTTTAAGTGAAAAAAGCATGGTGCTGAATGTTTTTTGAAGTTTGTTACCATCGATATATTTTGTAAAACACTCTAACATACAGTCTCTCTTTCTCTATATATACGTGTATGTGTATACCATTATAACATATATAATGTGTATACCCTTATACACACACACACACACACACACACCCTTTTTCTAATATTTTTTGTTCCAAATACATGTATTATTTTTTAGAAAAAAATAAGATAAACACGATTTAGAAATAAGAATCATGATCTTGTGAGGAAGTTCAGTATTATGTTAAGCAGAAAAAAATTAGGAAACTGGGGATCTTTGTAGAAAAAAACTTTTGAGGTACCAAATACCAACGTGACTGTCATCTCACTCATGATTTGTATGATACCCCACCCCACCCCAACCTACCCTGGAAAGAAAGGACACTGGGAGAAGCTACAGCT